GCCGGGCCTGGGGAGCGCCTGCCCAGAGCGGCGGCGCGGGCGGGGAGCGTCCAAGCAGCGGCGGGGCGGCGCCGGGCCGGGAGGCGGGACTACACCCCCCGGGATACCGGGCTGCCTCCCCCCGGGACACGGGGCTGCACCCGCCGGGATACCGGGCTGCCTCCCCCCGGAGCTCCCCCTCCCGGCCCTGCACTCCCCGGGGGCTGGTGGGGGCGTAACGTTCCCCAGCGCTGGGCAAGAGGCTCCCCTCTCTGTCCCCCTGCTCCTCCCGGTGTCCCCGGGACGGGATGGGGCCCCTGGGCTGGCGGCAGCCCCTTCCCCCCGGCTCCGTCCCCCTTCCTCCTCTCCCGCCGACCCTCACCCAACGTGTTTTCTGAGCCTGGATTAATTACCTGAGTCACACTCGGCTTCGGTGGGCTTCAGTTTGCCTAGCAGAGACCGTTGCTGCTTTTCTAACCCATTTATTCATGTATGTGATGCGGGGTGGCTTTGGAGGGGGGTTACACAGCAGGGAAGGGGGGGGACGCAGCCCCCAGCTCGCTGGCCACCAGGAGCGTGCCGGGCATCAGGGCTTCAGGTACACCTCGCCCACCGTCTTGTAGGGGAAATTCCTCCAGCCGAAGATGGGGGCTTTTTTGGGGCTGTCGCGCATGGCTGCCCTCACCTCCAGGGTAGAGATCCCGCTGTCCCACATGTACACGGAGGACATTTCCCCCACAAAGGACTGCTGGGCGTCGAAGCCACCCCCAAAGGTGTCCTGATCCTGCCCCAGCACTATGGCTGCCTCCGCCCCCACCGTGTAGCCCCTCTGCAGCCCCTTGCGGGGCCAGGGCTTCCCATTGAGCCAAAAGCCCACGATGCCGGTGGTGGACTCCCAGCTGGCGCAGATGTGCTCGTTTGCCATGATGCCCTCAGGGACCCGGAAAGTCACAAACTTGCCCCCCACGTAGAGCCGATACTCGCTGGGCTTGGGCTTGAAGAGGAGGATCTCGTTGTCCTGCGCCTTGGTGGCGTAGGAGAAGAGGCTGTGGGGCCGCGTCAGGTCAGTGTAGGACCACAGGCACACGGTGAAGTTCTGCAGAGGCTGCTCCGGTTTTGCCCTCACCAGCACGTGGGAGTCCTTGGTCTCTTGGGGGAACACGAACACTTTGTTCGCCAGGTCTGGGAGAGGCGAGAAAGAGGTGACTACTCCTGACACGGAGATGGCGTCTGCCCAAGTCCCCCAAGGGGAAACAGGGTTGCTGCGTGCCAGCCAAGGGGCCACCACCAGCCTGGAGGTGGCCTCCAGCATCAGACCCAGAGGTGGCTTCCACCACCCAGACTGACCACACGTGGGCTGTGATACAGGGTGGCACAGGCACGGGGTGGTGAGGACAAGCTGCGGGAAATAGGGGAAGAACCCTTGTCCCCAGCCATCCCCTTGGTCCCCTCCCTACCGTCTATCCACAGGTTGTAGGTGGCCACGGTGGTGCCCAGGGAGCCGGTGGCCCTGCAGATGTAGGTGCCCAAGTGCGACTTGTTGAAGGAGGGGAAGAGGAGGATGTTGTCAGGGCCTTTCTGCAGGGGGTCATGGTGTCCATCCTTCTCCCACAGGAACTCCTTGGGGCTGAGCCAGGCCGGGTGTCACTCAGGTCAGGGGGACACCCCAGCATAGCCATGCCATAGGGTGGGGGGACATGGAGGGACCATGGTGCTCCCTCCCCCATTTTTCCCACTGGGGCTGGGGACACCGGAGCTGCGTGTCCCATGCGGTGCTGTGACAGAGCCTGGGGGGGGACACGACGTCTTACCTGGGGTCCCCCGTGACCTCGCAGGAGAGTATCAGCTGGTGGTACATGGTGGGTACTGGCGGGTGAGCCTGGATCCGGGCGGTCACATTTTCTGCAGCACCGAGAAGGAAGGGCCAGCATGGGTGGGGAGGTGTCCTGTCCCCACCCCTGGGGCCCAGCTGTACCAGCCTGTGGGACCCCCGTGTCCCCACCGCAGCCCGGCATCACTCCTTGTGGCACCCACACTGTGTCCCTGCTGCCCACCACTGCCGTCCCCCCTGTGTCACTCAGGGAGCCCTTCTCGGCTCCTGCTGCACTGCCATCGCATCTCCTCCTCCCGCCCCCGCTGCACCCCCTGTGCTCACCGCACCCCTCGCTGCAGTGCGCAGGGTGCCCCACTGCACCCCACAGCCACCACTGCTGTGTGCCCCCCCTACACCTGCTGCTGTCCCCACAGGACCCAGAGGGGGTCCTGGCACAGCCCCCCTGTCCCTACCTCGTGGGGCAGCGAGGCTGAAGAGCACGATGAGGGTAAGGAGGCAGAGCCACAGCTGCCCCATGGCACTGCTGAGCCTGGCTACGGCAGCCCCGTGGTGACAGGGAAAGGCAGAGCCACCACAACGTGGCCCCCGGGCTGCTCAGGGCTTGTGCTGGGCTGCACGTGGCTACAGGGCGGTGACATTCACCCGGACCTTCAACTCCTCGAGTCCGGGATCATTGGCCCACGGGGCTGTTTGCCGATCCGGGGTGGGCCCGGGGGACCGGTTTGGCTGCCTGGGAGCCTGCAGACCCAGCAGGCTGGCAGGGAGCCCGGGGATGGCGGGTGAGCATGGGGACGGTGCTCCCCGGCTCCATCTGAGCCCCGTCCCCACCAGAGCTCCTCGGCTGGGCCACGCAGACAGCACCTTCTCCTTGGCAGGTTGCAGAGGTGGAGGGGTGATGGGGATAGGGAGGGGAGAGCAGGGTCTGAGGCCACCCCAGCCCCAGGCCCGGCCGGCTGTCACGGCCCCAGCGCCTCCCGGAGCCGGGGCTTCACCACCACATCGCCTTTCAGCTCGAAGCTCAGGCTCTTCCAGGCCAGGAGGGCGGGCGGCAGCCGCAGGGACTGGTAGGCAGATCTCATCTTGTCTGGGGACAGCCCTACGTCCCACAGGTAGACATCGGCCAGCTCGCCCGAGAAGGAGTTATAGACGTCGAAGCCGCCCCCGAAGGCGTCCTGCTCCTGCCCCAGCAGGATGGCTGCCTCCGCCCCCACCGTGTAGCCCCTCTGCAGCCCCTTGCGGGGCCAGGGCTTCCCGTTGAGCCAGAACTCAGCGATGCCGGTGGCTGATTCCCAGCTGGCGCAGACGTGCTCCCAGTCTCCGCGGCCCTCGGGGACCCGGAAAGTCACAAACTTGCCCCCCACATAGAGCCGATACTCGCTGGGCTTGGGCTTGAAGAGGAGGATCTCGTTGTCCTGCGCCTTGGTGGCATAGGAGAAGAGGCTGTGGGGCCGCGTCAGGTCGGTGTAGGACCGCAGGCACACGGTGAAGTTCTGCAGCGGCTGCTCTGGCTTCACCCTCAGCACCACGTAGGCGTCGCTGGGGTCATTGCGGAAGACGAACACCTTTCGGTACAGGTCTGGGGGATGAGAGAGGGGACGCAGTGGGAGGTTGGGGCATCCTGCAGCCCCCTCCAACTGCCTCTGAACCTTCCTCCATCTCCCCTGGGTGACTCCATGTCCCTGATGTCGCCTCTGCTGACCCCAGCCTTGCTCCCGCATTCCCCCTGACCGCCCTCTGGCACCAAGCAGAGGGATCCAAGAGCTACTGCCACATTCCCCCCAGCCCAGCCTGACCTGCCCCGTGCTGGCTTCTGTCCCCCAGTGTCACCCCTACCTTCCTGGGCCACAATCCCCGAGAGCCTGGCCAGGATGGCAAGCCAGAGCCACAGTTGGCCCATGGTCCCAAGCATCATGGTCGGTGCCGGGAAGAAGCCGCCTCGGCGCAGGGCTGCCACCCGCCAGGTTTATGGGCTGGAGGGTGGGAGGGGAACCGCACCCCCCCAAGTCCTGTCCCCAGCCCCGCCTGACATGCCCGGGAGGAGCAATTTCACGCTGTGACGTGGCCGTGCCACAAGACCCTGAGTCACCCGCCTGCACAGGATCCTCTTGGAGCTGTGCCCCGGCCATGTGCCCACCCGGGCGGCAGGGCCACCCCGAACACGCGGCTGCATCTCAGTCCCCTCGCCTCACTTACCCTCCCTGGGCAAAGCCCCCCATGGGAGTGACCCAGTTTAACCTCCGCTTGTTTGAGAGGCACAGAAGAAGCTCCCCCTGGACCTCTCACCCTGACCCTCAGCTCTTGGGCACGTCCTGGGCTCTGCTTGCCCTGTCCTGGACAAACAGATGGAGCCTGAAGCCGTGGGCACCAGGTGGCAGAAGAAACTGCAGCAAAGCCAAGGGTCCAGTGTCCTCCGAGGGCGTCCATGTGTCCTCCTGCAAGTGGATGGGGCCGGAGCAGAGCCCTCTTGCCCAGAGGCAGCCTGGCTGGGAAGGAGGAGGATTTCATCTGCTCTGGGCTCTGTGATGATGGTGCTGGGCAGGGGATCCAGGCCGGGGATGGAGAGCACCCGTGCCAGGGAGACAGCAGGATGCTCTTGGCCACGGGCGGCCGCCCCCTTTTTGGGGACTATGTGGGCTCATTCCCCACTGAGCCAGTTCCTCAATTTACCAGGGATGAGCCCCTGGGTCCCACAGCATTTGCCTCAGCCAGGGCAGCTCCTCGTGTGCCGCCACACCGGACCCCTGACCCCTGGGGTGGGCAGGTCCCGGCCGCAGGCTCGCGCCCCCCAGCTCTCCCTCCTCACCCATTTCACATCCCCCCATGTGCCTTGTGACCGCACGTGGCCGTCCCTCGTGGGAATGGCCATGCGCGGCTCAGATGACTCCAGCGCTGGATATAAATTACCTCGCTTCCCGCTCATAAGACTGCAGAGCTCCATTATGAACTTTCCCTGCTAATTTGGAGGCACGAGGAGCACACGCCTCCTGTTTCCCATCCCTTGGTCCGTGGGAGCCTGGCTGGAGGCGATGGATGTCACCCCCTCTGTGTCCCCCACCCCCCCTCCCAGCCCCTGCCATTAATGGAGCTTGACGAGCGGCTCTGACAGACGTATATATTGTATATAATTCCCAGTGGCTGATCTCGGATGTGACACTTGGCTTGTCAGGAGGGAGCAAAAATCCTGTGTCACTTCCCATTGCTGCTGCCCTGCCAGCTGAAATCTCCCCGTGGGGCCACGTAGAGCCGATACTCGCTGGGCTTGGGCTTGAAGAGGAGGATCTCGTTGTCCTGCGCCTTGGTGGCGTAGGAGAAGAGGCTGTGGGGCCGCGTCAGGTCAGTGTAGGACCACAGGCACACGGTGAAGTTCTGCAGAGGCTGCTCCGGTTTTGCCCTCACCAGCACGTGGGAGTCCTTGGTCTCTTGGGGGAACACGAACACTTTGTTCGCCAGGTCTGGGAGAGGCGAGAAAGAGGTGACTACTCCTGACACGGAGATGGCGTCTGCCCAAGTCCCCCAAGGGGAAACAGGGTTGCTGCGTGCCAGCCAAGGGGCCACCACCAGCCTGGAGGTGGCCTCCAGCATCAGACCCAGAGGTGGCTTCCACCACCCAGACTGACCACACGTGGGCTGTGATACAGGGTGGCACAGGCACGGGGTGGTGAGGACAAGCTGCGGGAAATAGGGGAAGAACCCTTGTCCCCAGCCATCCCCTTGGTCCCCTCCCTACCGTCTATCCACAGGTTGTAGGTGGCCACGGTGGTGCCCAGGGAGCCGGTGGCCCTGCAGATGTAGGTGCCCAAGTGCGACTTGTTGAAGGAGGGGAAGAGGAGGATGTTGTCAGGGCCTTTCTGCAGGGGGTCATGGTGTCCATCCTTCTCCCACAGGAACTCCTTGGGGCTGAGCCAGGCCGGGTGTCACTCAGGTCAGGGGGACACCCCAGCATAGCCATGCCATAGGGTGGGGGGACATGGAGGGACCATGGTGCTCCCTCCCCCATTTTTCCCACTGGGGCTGGGGACACCGGAGCTGCGTGTCCCATGCGGTGCTGTGACAGAGCCTGGGGGGGGACACGACGTCTTACCTGGGGTCCCCCGTGACCTCGCAGGAGAGTATCAGCTGGTGGTACATGGTGGGTACTGGCGGGTGAGCCTGGATCCGGGCGGTCACATTTTCTGCAGCACCGAGAAGGAAGGGCCAGCATGGGTGGGGAGGTGTCCTGTCCCCACCCCTGGGGCCCAGCTGTACCAGCCTGTGGGACCCCCGTGTCCCCACCGCAGCCCGGCATCACTCCTTGTGGCACCCACACTGTGTCCCTGCTGCCCACCACTGCCGTCCCCCCTGTGTCACTCAGGGAGCCCTTCTCGGCTCCTGCTGCACTGCCATCGCATCTCCTCCTCCCGCCCCCGCTGCACCCCCTGTGCTCACCGCACCCCTCGCTGCAGTGCGCAGGGTGCCCCACTGCACCCCACAGCCACCACTGCTGTGTGCCCCCCCTACACCTGCTGCTGTCCCCACAGGACCCAGAGGGGGTCCTGGCACAGCCCCCCTGTCCCTACCTCGTGGGGCAGCGAGGCTGAAGAGCACGATGAGGGTAAGGAGGCAGAGCCACAGCTGCCCCATGGCACTGCTGAGCCTGGCTACGGCAGCCCCGTGGTGACAGGGAAAGGCAGAGCCACCACAACGTGGCCCCCGGGCTGCTCAGGGCTTGTGCTGGGCTGCACGTGGCTACAGGGCGGTGACATTCACCCGGACCTTCAACTCCTCGAGTCCGGGATCATTGGCCCACGGGGCTGTTTGCCGATCCGGGGTGGGCCCGGGGGACCGGTTTGGCTGCCTGGGAGCCTGCAGACCCAGCAGGCTGGCAGGGAGCCCGGGGATGGCGGGTGAGCATGGGGACGGTGCTCCCCGGCTCCATCTGAGCCCCGTCCCCACCAGAGCTCCTCGGCTGGGCCACGCAGACAGCACCTTCTCCTTGGCAGGTTGCAGAGGTGGAGGGGTGATGGGGATAGGGAGGGGAGAGCAGGGTCTGAGGCCACCCCAGCCCCAGGCCCGGCCGGCTGTCACGGCCCCAGCGCCTCCCGGAGCCGGGGCTTCACCACCACATCGCCTTTCAGCTCGAAGCTCAGGCTCTTCCAGGCCAGGAGGGCGGGCGGCAGCCGCAGGGACTGGTAGGCAGATCTCATCTTGTCTGGGGACAGCCCTACGTCCCACAGGTAGACATCGGCCAGCTCGCCCGAGAAGGAGTTATAGACGTCGAAGCCGCCCCCGAAGGCGTCCTGCTCCTGCCCCAGCAGGATGGCTGCCTCCGCCCCCACCGTGTAGCCCCTCTGCAGCCCCTTGCGGGGCCAGGGCTTCCCGTTGAGCCAGAACTCAGCGATGCCGGTGGCTGATTCCCAGCTGGCGCAGACGTGCTCCCAGTCTCCGCGGCCCTCGGGGACCCGGAAAGTCACAAACTTGCCCCCCACATAGAGCCGATACTCGCTGGGCTTGGGCTTGAAGAGGAGGATCTCGTTGTCCTGCGCCTTGGTGGCATAGGAGAAGAGGCTGTGGGGCCGCGTCAGGTCGGTGTAGGACCGCAGGCACACGGTGAAGTTCTGCAGCGGCTGCTCTGGCTTCACCCTCAGCACCACGTAGGCGTCGCTGGGGTCATTGCGGAAGACGAACACCTTTCGGTACAGGTCTGGGGGATGAGAGAGGGGACGCAGTGGGAGGTTGGGGCATCCTGCAGCCCCCTCCAACTGCCTCTGAACCTTCCTCCATCTCCCCTGGGTGACTCCATGTCCCTGATGTCGCCTCTGCTGACCCCAGCCTTGCTCCCGCATTCCCCCTGACCGCCCTCTGGCACCAAGCAGAGGGATCCAAGAGCTACTGCCACATTCCCCCCAGCCCAGCCTGACCTGCCCCGTGCTGGCTTCTGTCCCCCAGTGTCACCCCTACCTTCCTGGGCCACAATCCCCGAGAGCCTGGCCAGGATGGCAAGCCAGAGCCACAGTTGGCCCATGGTCCCAAGCATCATGGTCGGTGCCGGGAAGAAGCCGCCTCGGCGCAGGGCTGCCACCCGCCAGGTTTATGGGCTGGAGGGTGGGAGGGGAACCGCACCCCCCCAAGTCCTGTCCCCAGCCCCGCCTGACATGCCCGGGAGGAGCAATTTCACGCTGTGACGTGGCCGTGCCACAAGACCCTGAGTCACCCGCCTGCACAGGATCCTCTTGGAGCTGTGCCCCGGCCATGTGCCCACCCGGGCGGCAGGGCCACCCCGAACACGCGGCTGCATCTCAGTCCCCTCGCCTCACTTACCCTCCCTGGGCAAAGCCCCCCATGGGAGTGACCCAGTTTAACCTCCGCTTGTTTGAGAGGCACAGAAGAAGCTCCCCCTGGACCTCTCACCCTGACCCTCAGCTCTTGGGCACGTCCTGGGCTCTGCTTGCCCTGTCCTGGACAAACAGATGGAGCCTGAAGCCGTGGGCACCAGGTGGCAGAAGAAACTGCAGCAAAGCCAAGGGTCCAGTGTCCTCCGAGGGCGTCCATGTGTCCTCCTGCAAGTGGATGGGGCCGGAGCAGAGCCCTCTTGCCCAGAGGCAGCCTGGCTGGGAAGGAGGAGGATTTCATCTGCTCTGGGCTCTGTGATGATGGTGCTGGGCAGGGGATCCAGGCCGGGGATGGAGAGCACCCGTGCCAGGGAGACAGCAGGATGCTCTTGGCCACGGGCGGCCGCCCCCTTTTTGGGGACTATGTGGGCTCATTCCCCACTGAGCCAGTTCCTCAATTTACCAGGGATGAGCCCCTGGGTCCCACAGCATTTGCCTCAGCCAGGGCAGCTCCTCGTGTGCCGCCACACCGGACCCCTGACCCCTGGGGTGGGCAGGTCCCGGCCGCAGGCTCGCGCCCCCCAGCTCTCCCTCCTCACCCATTTCACATCCCCCCATGTGCCTTGTGACCGCACGTGGCCGTCCCTCGTGGGAATGGCCATGCGCGGCTCAGATGACTCCAGCGCTGGATATAAATTACCTCGCTTCCCGCTCATAAGACTGCAGAGCTCCATTATGAACTTTCCCTGCTAATTTGGAGGCACGAGGAGCACACGCCTCCTGTTTCCCATCCCTTGGTCCGTGGGAGCCTGGCTGGAGGCGATGGATGTCACCCCCTCTGTGTCCCCCACCCCCCCTCCCAGCCCCTGCCATTAATGGAGCTTGACGAGCGGCTCTGACAGACGTATATATTGTATATAATTCCCAGTGGCTGATCTCGGATGTGACACTTGGCTTGTCAGGAGGGAGCAAAAATCCTGTGTCACTTCCCATTGCTGCTGCCCTGCCAGCTGAAATCTCCCCGTGGGGCTGGGGCTGAGCTCGGAGGTCCCCACAGGCATGCAGGAGGCTGGGGCTGACCCCACCGTGGGGTCTTGGGGAGACACTTGAGGCACCCCAGGGGTATCTCCATTGAGCAAATCAGGGTGTCCGACCCCAAATGGTGGTGCTGAGACCCCAAGGAAGGGGACAGAAGGAGGAGAGGCACCAAGTCTGGTGGCCACATTGCCCTCCCCTGGGTTCTAGGGAAGCATTGCCTGTGTGGCAGAAGCTGAGGGGCTGGTGGGGAGAGGGAACGTTGTGGTGGGCCAGGGGTGGGCACAGGACCCTGGGCTGCACCATAAGGAGCTCAGCAGCTGCCACCCACCCCGCGGTGGCCAAGCCGTGTGGCAATCAGGACCACGGGCCCCAGGCAGCAGTGCAGCACCCCCAGCCCCTCGCTCAGCCCCAGCATGTAGTCGAAGTGCTCAAAGGTGCCACAGCTGGGCTGCAGCAGCCGGGCCTGCAAGAGGAAATCCACAGCCAGCCCCACGCCGTAAGGCACCCAGAGCCCAAAGAAGAGCCAGCTTGCCCCGATGGCTGGCTGCCAGGCTGCCCTCAGCCGCGGCATGGCCACTGTGGCCGCCAGAAGCACTGCTGGCAGCAGCAGGAAGAGGCAGAGGCAGAGGGTGAGGTGCAGCAGATACGCTGGGGAGAGGACGTCCACTCTCCGGCGGATGCAGCTCGTGTTTGGGGCTGCCACAGTGCCGCTGGCAAGAGCCACCGGCATCGCCAGCAGCAGCGCCCAGGCCCACAAAGCCACAGCCAGGCGCCGGCTCCGGGGGTCCCAGCGGCACCAGGCGGTGCTGCAGGAGCTGCTGCCCACCAGCAGCCCTTGGGCAAAGAGGCTCCAGTGCCACAGGAGGTGGGTGAGACTGCAGAGCCCTGCACCCACCCGCCAGCCCCACCTGATGCCCACTGCCACTGGAGGCAGCACGGCAGCAAAGAGACCCATCCCCACTGCCAGCTGGGCCACCAGCGCTCGGCTCTGGGGCCAGCTCCAGGCGTGTGGCTGCTTGGCCAGTGCCACCAGCAATGCCCCAGTGCCCAAGGTGGCTGCAGCACTGGTGATGGCCAGGAAGGTGGGGGCCACGCGCTGGAAGAGGGGACAGTACTCGTTGTGACAGGGTGCAGCATCATAGTCCAGGAAGGTCATGTTGCTGTTGTCGTAGGAGAAGTTGCCCAGGATGTCCAGCAGGTCCAGGGAGTTCTCGCCCTCCAGGACCCCGGGGCTCTGTGAAGGAGACCCATGGGCATCAGACAGGGATGTGCCCAACTGACCACAGGAGCCACATCCCACAGCATCCCCTGATGGGCTGCTACTCTGGGCCGTGGAGCTGCTGCCCCACTGGTGCTGGGGGATTTGTGTGCAGCCCCGGTGCAGGATGAGAAGAACGATTTATCAGGCAGGGACACACTGTGGGAGAGGGGAGGCCGCCTGCAGCAGATACCTCGGGGGTGTGGGATTGTCCCGGGCTGGTCCCACTGTGTACGAAAGCCCAAATTTTCTCACAGCGGAGAGCTGCAAACCCTGCAGCGGGTGAGGGCAAACCCCATTGAGCCATCTGCAAGCAATCATTTGCCAGCAGTGCCCACTGCGAGCCACAGCTCTGCTCACCTCCCTGCACCCTCGTGGCCCCAGCATCCAGCAGGATAGAAAATCACTGGGAGAAGCAGCAGGGCAGGGAGAGACACTCACCACCGGGATGCAGTTGCCCATGGTGTATGTCCCAGGATGGCACTCGCTCCTCCGTCTCTGGGGTCTCGAAGGGCAGCCGATGCTCAGCCGCGAATGGTCTCCGCAGGCTGCAGTGCCCGGCGGCGTGTGTTCAGGGGTGCAGGGTCCCCAATGGGCACCACACAGAGCAGGACACGCTCTCCGAGAGCCGCCCTGCACGGTGGCACCCGCTCTGCTCTTCCTCGGGCTCCGCTCCTCCCGCTCAAAAGGGAGGGAAAGGGCTGTGTTAAGGAGATAAGAGCCCCCTCCGCCAGGGCCTGAAGGAAACAGGCGGGCCACGGCTGCCGGTAAAGCCAGTGAGCCGCCAGCCCAAGCCCGCAATTTCTTGAGCAGGAAATGATCATTTCTTGGCAGAACACCTTAAATTAATTAGGAACTGTATTTTCAGGTGCCCTGGCCGTGCAGATGCTCCTGTTGCTGGCCCGGACTCAGGCATGTGTGGCTTTTCATCTCAGGGGTGGCAGCTGCGTGGGAGCCTGGTCCAGGGTGCAGGGTGAGTGCTGTGGGGGCAGGATGGGGGTGGTAGCCGAGGGGACCCTGCAACAGCACAGCTCAGGGACAGTGATTCCCAGCCCCTGTTCATCAAGGAAATCTGCAGCTCTTCCTGAAACACCCTGCTGCGAGGCCAGATCCTGCGGGGTGACCCTGTGGCACCGGCGCTGAGTCACGGGCTCCCTGGGCAGCAAGCCCAGCTCAGGGCGGGGACCAGGGGCAGTTGGTGGCCCTCATGCCTGGTGAGAGCATCCCCAGAGGGTGGTAGGGGCACAAGGGGTTGGGACTGACAGTTAATGTGAATTGGGAGGGGGTCTGGTGGACCAGGAGGGGAGACTTGGAGGTGAAAGGGTGGGGGCCTGGGGACAGGCAGCTGATGGCGATTGCAGTTTGGGGTGCTGGGCAGCGGGTGAGCTATGCCTCCATGGGCTGTGAGATGGGCTTAGCCCTGTCCCTCCTGTGCTGTGCACCAGGCTGAGCTGTGCCCCCCACCAGGCTGAGTTCTGTCCCCTCCCCTGGTCTTGGTGCCCCCGGATCCCCCTCGCCCGAGGAGGGGGTCACGGCCATAACACTTCCCAGGCCCTGGCAGTGTCCAGCGCGCGCAGACAGAAGCAGAGACGCGCAGGCAGGTAACGTGTGTAATCCAGATATATTTATAGGATTATTTTCCGAGATTAGCACAGGATATTAGAAAGGTTATAAAGTCACATCAACGTTCGTTGTCTCCCTTTTATGTACATACAAGAACACAGCACAACAACACAGACCGTCCTCTGCCCTGCCCCGCTGCTGCCCCACGGCGTCTCCAGAGCTTCCTACAAATATGGCTTTCATGTCTATTGAGAGTTCAGTGCCGGCCGGGAGGCGGCCGGAGCCTCCTCGGGGTTGGTGGGTGGCAGTGACCAGGCCTGGCTACAAACCCAGGCCACAGGGTCCCCCCCGACTCCTCCTTGCTCCCCCAGCACTGGCCCTGGCTGTGTCTTGGTTCAGATGCCCTGGGCCCAGCATGAGTGACCATGGTGGCACCAAGTAGACATGGGCTTGGAGTTCTCCTACCCATGTGGCCAACAAGGACCCCCTGCTCTCAAAGCGGCCACTGAGGTCCAGGGAGGTGGCTGGTGCTCTGGGCTGTCCCAGGTGACAGCTCCCTGGGCACCGGCAGGGAGGGACATGAGCCTGGTGTCCCCTCGTCCCGGTGACACGTTGTCCTTCTTGTCACCGCCTGCTCCATCGCTTCTTCCCTCCCGCAGTGTGGTGCATCCGCCATCAGCCACCCTGGTGCCATCACCTCACACCCGTGATGTGATCTATCAAACTCAAACTTGCATCCATTGTGCTCATGACATGGCACGTCCCATCACACCGTCCACCAGCAGCACAGTGGGTGCACCATCACCGCACTCCCACACCGCAACGTGCGCCATTGCAGCCTCATGACAGTGACCCCATGAGCCCTCATGCTCATCCAATGGCACCTCCCTCTTCACACGTGTGACCTGGTGTATCTGTCAACCCCTCACAAGTGACACAGGGTCTCCATCACCCTCATGCCTGTGGCAGTGTCTCTACTGCTCGCTGGCATCTACCAGAGCCCCTTGGGCTCTTGCAGATGCAGCCTCATGTTCATGCTCCCACCACTCCAGGACCTGCGAGGCCTGGGGCTCCACCTCAGCCTCTTGCCGTGGCTGTAGGACATCGGGCCCACCCGAGTGGGACCTGGCCCGTCCATGGCTGACGTCTGCCGCAGGCAGTGGGTCCTGCCCCAATGCCATGTCCCATCCCTGTGCCTAACCCCATCCTGCCACATCCCACACCACGCAGCACCTCAAAGAGGCCAAATCCTGACTGCTCTCACCAGGGCAAAGCGGCAACCACCAGCACTAGCCCTTGAAGCCACTCTAGAGCAGCAACACTGGGGAGAAACCGGCCACAGCTATGTCCAAGCTGCCTGGAAGGGACACAAACATCCCTGCGCGAGCTCAGCTCCCATCTCCGTTTCCCTGGGGACCAGTTAACGCCCTTCCCTCCCAGACCCCCGGGCTGGGGCTTGCTCTGTAACCATCTACAGCACATAGACTTACAATGAGATTAAATTTTACTTGAAAACATATCCTTGCATTTTTATTTGAAGGAATTACGTCTATTCAATAGTGGATTTTAAAGATCTTCAGCAAAGTGCCAGGCTGCACATTCAGATGTGCTCAGTGTGCAGTGAGTAGTGAACAGCATCAGCATCTGCAGTGTTACCTCTGGCAGCAACGGCTGCATCCCTCAAAATGAGCTTGGAGCCACCGTTGGGACTCCAGGCCAACGTCCTCCTCCAAAGAGATGGGAAGGGAGGAGCAACATTGAGAAAACCACAAGTTTTCTTCGCCGTGTACGATGAAGGCTTCTTGCATGTCTCTTTCAAGGTGCCAACACCCTGCGTGATCCCAACACACGATTTAGTCACGGTGAACCCAGTCACATCTGTGCCCATGCCACAAGCGCATCGCTCATTCACACCCTGTGCCTGACACCAAGCTGTGCCTCCTCTTCCTCATCTGCTTGGACCCAACCCCTTCCAGCCCCTTCCGCTCGCTCTGCGATGGCCTCCCTGTGGGCATCCTCCCCGTGCCATGTGCTCGCAGGGTCTGGGTGCGAGCGACACTACCTGCCCCATGGGCACCTGGTACCCCACAGCAGGGGTACCTGCTCTTCACAAGCTCTTCCTCCACCTCCAAGGTGAGGTCACCCACAGCACCGATGGCTTTCACTCCTTCATGAAGGACTCTCCTTCCCCAGACAACACGAAATCGAAGGGGTGCCCAGTTGAAGGGCAGCTCCTTCACACCTCTTGTGTCCAGCCCAAGAGATGCTGGGAAGCTGGAAACCTCATCCCAAGGCTGAGGGATGGGGCCCGGCTCCCCAGGGAGCATCCTGTCGATGCTGGAGCATGCAGCCCCTGCAGCCTCATCCTGTGGGTGTGCGGCTGAGGTGGGCCAAGCAGACCCTGGGGACATGCTGGAGAAGTTGGGAAAGCTTCTTGGTTTTGTCTTGGAAGAGAGAGTGAAACAGGTAGGAGGTAGGGCAAGCCTCCTTGGAGACCCACAAACTACTGAGACACCAAACCTGGGCACTTTGGCTGCTGTTGGCTGCAGCCCTTTCAGCTGAGAAGGAAATGGCCTTTTCCAAGCTCCCAGGTGCTGTGGGAAGGGGCTGGGAAGGGGGACAGATGGCTCCGAGGAGAAGACCCCGGTGGAGCCCCTCTCTGTACATCTCCTTGGGAGCAGGTCACCTCCAGCTCAGCCCAGCTCCCGTGGTGCCACCGGCTGCATGAGCTCTGGTTGAAGCCACCATCAGGGTCCAAATTATCTTTCCAGAGGGTCCGGGGGCCCCAGAGCCTGCCCAGTGAAGAGGAGAGTGGCGATGGCTGTAGGCCCACCAGCTCCCTGGCTCTGCCCGGTGCTCCCGGCCCAGGTGACCTCCTGCACTGAACATCTCAATAGATGGTTTAAATTGATGTTTCCAATCTGAGAATTTGTAAAGTTGGGGCTTTTTCCCTGGATTCGCCCCCAAACCTCTGCCCTCCCCCCTCCCCCTGGGGTGGGACCGAGGAGCTGCAGTGCCCGGCAGCTCCCAGTCTCTCAGGGGCCTCAGCGGTTCCCACCCTGGAAGCTCATCCCCCCGTCACACACCTCCCGCACGAGGACAGCCCTCCTCCCAAATGGACACTGTTCGACAAGAACCACCAAGGATAAAATCAGGGCCGGGGTCCCTCCCTGCTCAACCCCAGCCACATGACAAGACCTCAGAGGCAGAAACGTGGCCCGTCGGCATCCTGCTCCTGTCCCAGCGGCCACGGTCCCCGTCCCAGCTGGGGCTGGGGCCACCACGCAGCAGCCAAGGCTGGGGGGAGCAATGGGACCTGGGTCCCAGCTCTCAGTGGGAGACGTGGGGCGAGTGCTTGTGACAGAGAGGCCTCCCAGCCGCCCCGAGCTGGCGCCAGAGACTGGAGCTGATTTTATCCTTGGATGTCAAAGAAACCAAAATGGAGAGAAACAAAGGAAAAGAGCTACATCGACCCCAGCCCAACATCCCAACCAAGGGCCCAAAGCAAAGAGCAGCCACGAAACCAAAGCAAAGGTCCAAAGGAAGAAGGAAAGTCGCTCACTCACTGGTTGGTCTGTGTTTTGCGCGAGCGCTGGTCGCAGGGATGGAGGTGCAAGCAAGCAAACGGGGCCGGGGCTTTCGCTGTTCGTAGTAATAACGTTTTGTACAAGTTCAAGAAGAAGCATCATGTCTCAGGCCAGTTGCTCTCTGCTCTCTGTCCCGCCATCCCTCTGTCCGTCCGTCTGCCCCTGCCGGGCACGAGAGAAAATCTGTTGGGTTGAGTGGGGTTTGTGGTCTGGTTTCCGTTTCCATCGGGGTCTCTTGGCTCCATTTCTCACTCTCTCCGATGCCCCTAGATGAAATACTCCTTCTTGTCATCACCGCTGGCCTGGCCGCCCTCTGCGTTGATGATGGCGGTGTCAGCGTCTGGGGCATCATCCGACCCCTTGGCCTCATGGGTCAGGTAGGTACCTGGATGGGAAGAGGGGTCAGTATCACGGGGGGCCCTGCCGGCTCCCCGCTCCCATGCAAGCAGGGGGAGGCTGGGCTGCCTGGAGGGGCACCGATGGCAGGGCCTGAGGGCTGGCTGGGAAGTGGAGGCAAGAGGAAAGTCCTTTGAATTTGGTCTGAAATGGAAAAGTCACTGGTTTCCCTGGGACAAGCCCTGCCTAGGGACCAAGCCTTGCTTGGGCTGCTCGAGGCTCTCGCAGTTGTCTTTGGACAGAGGATGCAATTCCAATTGCATCTCCATGCATGACTCCTGCCCTCCCCTCCCGGCATCCCTATCTCCCTCAGAAAACTGGAGGTTTCTCTGCGAAAATTGCCATCTGCAAGGAGGTTCCAGCTCCCGGTTGCTCCAGAGCGGGCACAGCGTGGGGCAGAGGTGGCAGCTCCGCTGGGCTCAGAGGGCAAGGATTGGGGACTCTTACTCACACATCACCTCTGCTGGGTTTTGCCGATGGCTGGATGTGACCGTCTCCCCGTGTCTTATGCACATACCTGCTGGGCGGATGAAAAGTCCAGGGATGGGGAGATGGAAATGGTGGAGGGAAGGTGGAGGGAAGGAGGAGGAAGGTGGAGGGCTCGACAGGGGCAGGGAGGGAGGAAGTGGGGTCCAGCACAGAGGGGACAGTGGCATGGGCTGTCCTGCAGCAGTGGGTACGAAGCTGTGAAGGACAGATGAAAGAATGGGACAGGCTGCCTCTGCCTGGTGCTGCCCAGCTCCAAGGACTCACTGGGACATCTCTGCGCTGGGGCTGGTGCACAGGCAGCAGCCCCCAAACCCTTGGAGGGGTCCGTTGAGCTGTGCTGGATTTCTCCAGACGCGGGGCAGGTCTGCAGGATGGGGAGCCACCTCCCTTCACCCCTACCCTTGCTGCCTGCTTGCTTCAGGGACAGCCCTGCTCCCAGAGACCCACCGAGGGGGGAGCACTGTGCTGCTGGCTCCGACATGCCATGGGGGTCTTGACTCTGTGCCCCCCCCCAACTAGCTTCCCCATCCCGTACCTTTGTGTCTGATCAGGTAGTGTCCCAACACGATGAGAAGACTGAGCAGAAGGAAGACAATGACGGCAACCACCCCGCCGATCACCGCATGGTATGTGCTGGAGGTGGAGGGCACCGGGCTGGCATCTGCCCAGACGGCAAAGGGAGAGAAAAGAGAGAGGAGATGCTGCAGACCAGACCCTGCTGCCCTGCAGAGGCTGCTGCTCATCCCACCGACCCCGCAGAGCTGCAGGCGGGCACTGGGGAATGTCCCCTCCTGCTCGTTGCCATCAGCTCGATCCTGCCGCAGATAAGAGCTGTCAGGGCGGGAGGAAGAAAAGGGAAGGCAGCGGGTCAAGCAAGAAGGGGAGAGCAATGGCCATCAGTGCTGGCTCCCAGGAGCTGATGGCACCCCAAGGTGGGACCCCAAGGCTGTCCCAAGTTGGCTGTATCCTGTAGCGCAGACTGTACTGGATCCTGCGTGAGCCCTGGTGCACAGGGACAAATCGTGCCCCATCAGCCTGGGCGGGGAGGAGGGGGGGAAGGGAGCAGAGCCACAGAAACATTCAGGGGAGATGTTTGGACACGACAGCGTGGGAAAGACAAGTGAGGCGACAGGACAGAGGAACGACATCTCACATGGACACAAGGCACAGGTAGCAGCTCACGGGCAGCTGCTGCTACAACCTGTCAGGAAGAGCTGGAAGGACCATTATGGAGCCCAGGCTCTGGGGCCTCAGCTCTTTCTGTTGTGTGCCACCATCCTGCAGTGCTGAGACAGTGGCTGCGGAGTCCACACACAGCAACAAGCAGCTGCACAGGGACTGAAGCCTGGCTGAGCATCTGGGACATGGCAACGGCGTCCCTGGCCCAGGGGTTGGGCCACCATCCTCCTGTGGAACCTCTCCTGCTGGGCTGGGGAGCAGTGGGTCCATAAAGAGAGAGAAAAGGAGCTTACGGTACCTTGGATGGGAGCTGGAGTGAAGGATGAAGCGGTGGCCATGGATGCATGAGAGATGGGCTGGGAAGGGCCTGGCGGAGGGGCTGGAGTGGAGTGAACATGTGGGGTAGGGAGCTGGGAAAGATCTGGGGAGGACAACAAAAACACAGGGACATGAATCAACCCCAGGAGGTGCCAATGAGGTGTGAGAGAGCCCGTCAGAGGGAATCCTGGCTCCCCCCAGCCTGATGGGACCCATTCTTCTCAGTAGCTCCTTCCACGACCCCTTTCTTGGCCACAGGTCCTACTCCTCCTGCCACTGTCTTCTGGGACATGCTACTGTAAACATCTTCCATCTCCTTACCTGCCAGCACTGCTGGTTCCCCTTCCTCCGTGAGGGACCCCACTGGGACCTTCCTGCCTGGGAGCCCTGTCACTGTGGTGGTTGGAAACCATCACCCACTGCAAGGTGCCACCTACGCTGCACTCAGGGACCACTCTGTCTCCACTTTCCCTCACTGCCCAGCCAGGCCTGGCCGCTGGGCCAGGCAAGGCACCTGCTACAGTGATGGTGCCTGGGACCCAAATGGCTCTGGGCAAAAAGAGTGGGAATTTGGCAAGGGAAACTAAGCTGAGATGTGGGGCTCCTCTGCTAGGGGTTGTGACACCAAGTGGGTGAGGGACACTGGTGTTCTGGGTGCCATGTGCTCGCAGATGGTGTTGAGCACCCTGGATCTGCCCAGGGAGCTGGTTCCTGAGCAGCACCCAGAGCCCTCTGCACCCAGGGGAACAGGGGACACACAAGAGGTGATGAGGGAAAAACTGCACGGGGTTGGGCATTTAGGGGCTTCTCCTGGACAGGCAAAGGAGAGGGACTCGGGAGACAGGGTGGCCGAAGTGCCATTGCTGCCATGCACTCCCTCTACCCACAGCCACGTTGGAGGGGAAGGATGCTGAGAGTGCCCAGAACAGGAGGGGAATGAAAGGGAATGGGAAAGGGAAAAGCTGGACCAGGTAGAAGTGCTGGAAGATGGAAAGTCCAAGGCTGGTAGAGAGAAGAGAAATGGCAAGAGATTTGGCAGAAGAGGAGGATAATCCCAAATCCATGGCCAAAACCGCAGAGAAACAGGCTCCTACCAACACGAGAAAGCTGCTGGGCAAGGGGCTGGGTGGAACTGGGCCGGAGAAGCGCTCATAGCCCCACACAGCACACAGCTCTGCTCCATGAGCGACACACGATACCTGGATGCAGCAGGGCACAAGGACAGCGAACACAGCGGCAGAGCATGGCTGGGGTAGGGAGAGGCAGCGAGGGGATGGCAGAGGGCAGGGAGGCAGCCAGTGCTGCCCCCGCCGAGTAGCGACACACTGGGGATACAGGACACATACAAGCCTGCAGCTCAGGGCAAGCCATGGAACCCTTTTCCAGAAGCCTGGGACGGGGCTGCCAGTGCACCTCGACGTTTGGACATCTGGAAGTCTTCGTGGTGGTGACACACAGAGGCTTCCTGCCTGTGACAGGCTCAGGAGCACTGGCCTTTCCTCCTGCTGCAGAGACTCCAGCAGGATCCTGCTTGCAGCCCCCACAGTCCCCCCACTGCACCCTCTCCCGCTCCTCATTGGAAGCGGAAGGGACTGAGCTCAGCCTGGGCCATGCTCTGCCCCTGCCCTGACCGCCCCCAAACTTCTCTCTGTCCTCCTCGGCCCCAGGCAGCAGCCCCGCAGGGTGCAGGGAAGGATGGGGAGAGCTGGATGTGGCTGGAGGAGCTGGGGATGCAGCACTCTGCCAGGACCCAGCTGCACACACCCACCCTGTGCCACCAAGCCCCCCTCCCCACTGCAGCCCTCCCCAGACCCGCGTGCCCCTTGCTGGGAAGAGCCAGCTGGGAGGGAGGTGGCTGTGCCAACCCCCTGCAGCTGCCGGGAGAAGCCGGTGATACTGGGTGCCCTGCAGCCCCGCTTACCACTGACGTCGAGGTTGTACTTGGCCACGACGCTGCCCATGGAGCTGGTGGCTGTGCAGACGTAGGTGCCGCTGTCGCTCTTGTTGAGGAAGGGGAAGGTGAGGATGCTGTCGGAGCTCAGCTGCAGGGGCGCGTCACCACCCTCCTTCTCCCACAGGAACTCTTGGGGGCTGTGGGGCAGGATGGTGGTGAGGCACTGCCGCCCCCTCAGCACCCTGGTGGGCTCGGGGAGAGCAGTGTCCCGGGTCAGGCAGTGGAGGGGGCAACAAAGGTGTGGGAGTATTTAAGGAGAAGGGGAATTCTCCATTTGGAGATAAGCTGGGATGGCTCTGCTGCTCCAGGTGGAAGTGAGGGGCTTTGCCTGTTCTCTGTGGGGTGCCCGGCCCTGCGCCCACACAGCCCTGCAATGCCCTGCCCAAGCTCAGGGGAGGGCTAAGTGGTGGCTTTGGGAGCCTGGCAGAGGGAGGATGAGATGGTCAGGGCTCTGGGGGGCTGAGCAGCAGAAAAACGAGGAGGGGCCTTACATGGGGTTGCCCTGCCCAGCACACTGCAGCTGGAGCTTCTCGCCTTCCCGGGGGTACTGGGGATGTGGCTCAATCTTCGCTGTCGGCTTGTCTGAAAAAAAGAGGAGAGGCACAGCTGGGTGACCACCTGCCCCTGCCCCACACCGCACAGGGGCTGCTGGCACCCCAAAACCCTGCCCCTGCCTCAGCCCCAGCTCCACCGTGCAGGGGTGCAGTGTGAGCATCCCTTGCCTTGTCATCCATCACAATGGGACACACAAGACAAGAGGAATAGGGACAGGCAGGACATGGGAGATAGTGGAGGCAGGTAGCAAGGGATGGCACGTCCCAGGGAGATGGGGACAGGCAGGATACAGGGGACAAGGACAGGCAAGGAAACCAAGGGTGTGCATGTGCAGGGGAGGTGTCACTGTGCAGTGGCCCTATGTGTGACAGGGTCCCTGTGCAGGCAGGTTGATGAGCCTGTATGCATGACGGCTGTATGAACATGTAAATGTAGGGCCATATATGATGTCTGCTTAACCGTGGTGATGCTGAGGCCTCCTCCATCTCCCCCAGCCCTCCCCAGCCCTGTCCCCTTTCCCGTGTGATCCTGTCCCATCATTCCACTGTGCCACGTACAGTGGACCTGCAGCTTCTGTGTGGTTGACCTCTCGGAGTTTTGCAGGGACGCGTGGTCCACAGTGCAGGTCACCTCAGCTTCGTTGTCCTCCTTGGTGACACGGAATTCGACCCGACTGCTCACAGTGAAGGTCTTTCCGTTGGGGTCCTCCATGATCTCGGTGCCCTCATCTATGGGGACAGGGGGCCATTATTGTTGATGGACACAGTACCCCAGCAGAGGCATGAGTCTGACACGCGTGTTGAGCAGGGGACAGCCTGCCCCCATCCCTCTGTTGGCAGTAGCATATGATGCCCATGTGGTCCAGCACTGGGCACATCTGCAATCCCTGGTGCCTCACCTCCCTCCATGGTGTTCCCCAGCCACCCCAGCCCCTTGGGGCAGAGCCCCACTGCTTGGGCACCCACCCTTCAGCTCCTTGTTGCCCTTCTTCCACCGGAGCTGGGCTGCAGGCTTGCTGCCAGAGGACCGGCAGGTCAGCCGCGCAATCTTCTCCTCATCAATGGGCTGCTCGTGACCGGAGATTTGTGGTTTCTGGGGGATTCCTGGTAGAGGAGGCGGCAAGAAATACAACAGCCTGTTAGCTGTGTGTGTGTTGCCACCCAGAGATGGACACACACACAGAGACAGGTCAATAAGCACAGCAAGGATGAGTTAATGGGTAGAGATACAGGAGCAGCAGAGACAAACGACTGTATGGACAGCATCTTGAGGCAGGACGGTAGTGGGCAGGAGACTGGGAGCAGGTGGTGGGGGCTTACCCAGCACGGTAACCAGGGCCTTCGCAGTCCGCACGGGCATGGTGAAGATGGAGCAGGTATATTCCCCCTCATCCGACAGCACCACGTCACTGATGCTGATGGTCAGCTCATTGGGTGTGGACCTCTCCAGCTGGATCCTGTTATCTCGCAGGGCTAGGGGAAGAGGGACGATAGGGTGAGTGACAGAGTCAGTACCACCACACGCCTCCACTAGCTTGTATTTTGCCTGGTGGCATCACCGTAGGTGGGAACATCATCCTCTAGGGCATCACCAGCCCTGGTCCACTTCCCCTCTGCCCCAGCATTGCTCCAGTCCTGGAGCTGGCTCCCCTCCCCAAGACAGCCCTCTCCATCCCCAGTTCCTGCACACATACCTCGCTTCTCCCCGAAGTAGAGGGTCTGCTGGGCAGGGTTGGACCACTGCAGCGAGGAGTCATCAGGATCCTCCACCTGGCACTTGAGCACCACTGTACCACCAGCCACCACAGTCTCATCCGATGTCGTGGGCTGGCTCTCTGGACACAGACAGGAGAGGTCAGCGGGGCCCTGGGCATCGCCTCTCCCCAAGTGTGCACAAGCATCACTGAGCCACCAAGGGAAGGGAGGGATGCAGCCGTGTCCCCCAAACCCTGGGATAACTAGGGGTCCAGTGCAGGACTGAACACAGCCTGCTTGGGACACATATTTTTTCCAATGAGCCCAAGCCCTGAATGGCTGGGCTATAAGGACTGAGGTAGGGACTGGGCCACCCGGCTCTTGGTGGCAGCACCGAGGGACATGGGAAAGAGGAGAAGGTCCTGCCAGAGATCTGGGCTGGCTCCAGGGAGACTGTCAGTGCAGTGCTATGTGTGTATCTGGGAGCCTCTGTACAGCCCTCTGAGCAGGGATGTGTGTGCGCACACATGATTGTGGGTGCATGTCTCTCTCCAGGGAGAAGTGGTTTTTAGTGCACAGGCAGCGTGGTTGAACAGGAGTCATCCTGTGCACCTGGGGACAACAGGGACCTGCTCACAGGCTTGTGTCACTCTGAGTTTCCCACTGTGATCCCATTCCCCAGCAGGGAACGGCCCCACTGCAGCTGCAGAAGGCCTGGCAGGCAGGACCCTGCCATCCCAGCCTGCAGCTCCTGGGACGCTGCTGTCCCCGGCTGGTAGCTCCACAACAACCTGCAGAGACATCGGTGTCAGGCCTGGCTCCAAGCAACCCCTGGGGCTGATGGAGGGTACAGGCAGCTGGTGCCTGCCGGGCATGAGCAGGCCAGGAGGCAGCAGGAGACCCTGGCACAGGCACCGGCTGAAGGCACCTGGCGAGGCAACAAGCTCTGCTCCACCGCCTTGGCACTGCTAGCAAGTGGGGGTCGCACCCATGGTACCTCTGTGCCAAGCACCCCACACAAGGAGATGCTCTGCTGGCTAGCAGCAAAAGCATCTGTGGTCCACTGCCTGTGGGGTACAGTCAGTGGCCCACCCTCCACATCATTCCTTAGGGGGATTTTCTCTTGCTCACACTGCTTCTGGGCTGTGCACGTCCCTTCCCAGACTGTGTTCCCTCAGCTAAGACATTGTCATTCGCTTCCTACAGGAAGTGCCAAGCACTGCCGGGCAGCCCAAGGGCAGAGAAGAGCAGCAACAGGATCAGATAACCCCCCCCCGCCCCAAGGACAGCTATTTTGGGAGAGCCAATGTGCCAGGGAGCTCAGATGGGGGACATGTCTCTGCCATGTCCCTCGCTGGGGTCTGCAGCTCGGCCAGGCATTGAGGCCATGGCTCTCCATCCGCTCCTCCTGACTGGGGAGATCTGTCTGTCAGCTTGTTTTAATTTGGTTAACGATGCCTTTGTGCTGCTACTACCATAATTAGGGGATTAGCGTGTTGCAAGCCGCTGTTGTCCAAACTCCAAACAGTCCAACTCGGATGTGATTGAGGACAGGGTCTAGAACCCACACAGAACAGACCCAATCTCCTAATTAACACAATTACCATCACCTGCCACACCACTGTCCTCATTAAGGTATTAGCAAGGTGTTTCCCCCAGGGTAGGGGGCAGGCCATGCCACCCATGCCCCACACACAGACATGCAGGGCACTGCACAGAGCCATGGTGGCTCCAGCTCGGCCTTGTTGACAACCTGCCTCCCCCCTCACAGCCAGGACCACCAAGATGGGTCCCCAACACCCCAGAGACCACCCTTCTGTCAGAGCTGCCCCTGGCTCTGGTGCCCCGCAGCTTGTGTGGGGTGGGGGGACACAGCCCCTCGGCCGCTGACTGCACCCTCCGGCACGACCTAGATCCTCCCTCGCCTCCGCGCCCGACAGCTTGGAGGAACAGATGGGCACGGCTGGGCCGCTGCGCCAGTGCAGCTTGATTTAATTAAAAACCGCCGCGGCTGTAACCTGCTGGCCCTTGACAGAATAGGGGCAGAGCCGCAGGGGAACAGCCATGGTGCCAGGAGAGGAGGGGGTGGCAGGGCCCTGGGAGCAGCGAGACCCACCACAGCAGCTTCACCCCCTCCTGCCATGGCCCATGGGGTCCCCATCCCCCTCCGCAGGAGAGACCACCTCTGGAAGGCAGACACAAGGGACAAAGCTGCCATCCCATGGCTGGGGACAGCAGGACACCGAGATGGAAGAGTCTGGAGAAGAGGAGGCTCCAGGGGGACCTTGGAGTCCCTTCCAGTGTCTGACAGGGGCCTACAGGAAAGATGGACTTTTGACAGGGCCTGCAGTGGTAGGAGGAGGAGTAATGGCTTCAAACTGTAAAAGGGGAGATTTAGATGAGGTCTCAGGAAGAATTTTTTCACTATGGGTTGATGAGACCTTGGCCCAGGTTGCCCAGAGAAGCTGTGGCTGCCCCATCCCTGGAGGGGTTCAAGGCCAGGTTGGAGGGGGCTTGGAGCAACCTGGTCTGGTGGGAGGTGTCCCTGCCCAGGGCAGAGGGGGAAACTGGATGGTCTTTAACGTCCCTTCCAACCTGAACCACTCTATGATTCTACAATGCCTCATGCACCACGACTGCTCTCAAATCCAGCAGCTCCAGCCCTGGCACAGCCCAGAGCATCCTCCCAGCCAAATCCTGGGGGTGCACAAGGAAAATGAAAGGCCACTTTGGCTACCCTGCTCACACCACAACAGCCCTTCAGCACGGCAAGGAGCGCTGCTATGACAAAGCAGGCACCCGTCACACAGGCGTCCCTGGGCAGCGTGCTGGTGGCTCGGGGGCACGAGGATGCTCTGGAGAGCTGGCTGCCACAAGAGCTTTCAGGCCTTCTTGGCACGGTGCATAGAACAGACCCCGTGAGCCCGGGGACAGGTGCCGGACACCCAGGGAACCATCCGCCCTTGCCATGCCAGCAATGGCTGCCAGCGCAGAGACGCTGCCACCTGACAGCCTGGGCTGGCACAGTGTCCCCGTCCTCCCTTTGCCACATGGCCAGAGCAGCCTCGGAGCCACTGGGCACCAACAGGGAGCCAGGGCCCCCACGACACAAGCATGGCCCTGTGGGGAAGAGGCGAGGCAGGAGTAGGCAGTGTTTGAATCCAGCCTTCCCCGGCGCTCAGGCAGGTACAGCCACCCTGGGACCCTGCTCGGCCATCGGCCCTCCCATGCTCATGGCTCTCCTCTCCAGGAGGGGGAAGCAGATCCCTCAGATCCACACCTCCCAAGCCTCGCTGGCCACCTCAGGGCCCTGCTGTCATCCTGCAATAGGGTGGAAAGTTATTTTGCAGATGGCAAGCCATCAGTGAGGTCTCTTGGCAGGCAGAGGACCCAGCTCCCCCTCCATGGGACCCTCCTGAAGGAAGCCAGACCTGCCACAGGCAGCGACACTGGAGTTGGGCTCAGTCCCTGCCTCAGATGGGGGACAGGCACAGCAACCTTGGGCACCTCATAAAACACCACAGCAAAGACTTCGCCAGCCCCCTGTTTTTGGCTAAGAGCTGCTGCCCAGTCAGCACAGTGATATTAGAGATGCACAATGCTCTAGAAAAATCAATATTTCTTTAATTAAACCTGGGCACTTTTGCAGGGGGGCTGCATTTGTATTTGTGAGGGGAAAAAAGATGTCTCTCTGGGCTCCCAGAGCCCAATAGGACCTGCCAGCACGTGTCCCCTTCCAGCACAGACTCTCTCAAGGGTCTGCAGCTCTGCCGCTCCCAGCCCAGGATGCTCCCGTGCACACACACACACACACACGAACCCTCTGCAGGACGACATCTCCTAGGGCTTTTGCAGTGCTATGACATGCCTTCTGCCCTCCGGGAGCTGTTTCACCTGAAGCATCTGCAGGGAAGCAGTGAGCGATACCTGGGAAGAGCCCAGCAGCCTTTGTGGAGTATCTGGAGGACGCCCTGGTGCCCACACCAACCTCGGCAGGGCTGACCCTTTGCAGAGACCTGCCAAAAGCCAGATGCACTTCCAGTGGCAGCCATGGCCGAGGCAGGCAGGAGCTGGAGCTGCCAGGACCTTCTCCCAGCCTGTCGGGCATGTCCCCCCTGTGCCTGCCTCCAGGCTGGGAGTGTGCTTGTTGGGGCAGAAGGAGCCCCAGAGGAAAACACCCACTGCTCGAATCCCTCAAACACCTCCAGTCCTCAGCCACAACACTTGTAATTTTCCTCATTCTTTTCTATTTAGTCTAGTTTCATCATCATAAAGATCCAATTTATCTCTGTTGACACAGACATTTTCTAAGGCGAGTTATCTCTTCTCTGAGGACTGTATTTTAATAATTCACTCAGCAGCCATGAACTGCGAAGCTCCATTTCCAGCCGCAGGCATCCTTCCCGCATGGTGACACCAGAGCAGCCCCGCCAAGGTGGTGGTTGTGAACTCGGAGGATGGAAAACCCGGCCAGGAGGGCTCAGACATCTGCTGTGCAAGCTTGCCTGTGAATCCACAGTCTGGGATACCCAGAGCCCAACTTCCAGGCTCCTCCTCACCGGCAGCTGACTCCAGATTTTGTTAGAAGTGGAAACCTGCTCTTGTTTCAGTACATCTGCTCAATGCCACCCCATGCTACTCTTCCCTGTATGCATGCCCGCAGGAGCCAGCCTGGCTGCATGCTCCAGCATCCCTCTGGGAGGGATGCAAGGGTTTACCAAGTGCTGTCACCAGGAGGCAGCTTCCCAAAGAGGCCATCTCTGCGGTGAGCAAACCAGAGCAGGGTACAGGCAGCAGGAGGTGACAGGGAGCAGACAGAGGGCCAGGGTGAAGCAGGCACAGATCAGAAGGCCACTCTTCAACAGCTGCAACAGCCCTCTGCTTGGGAGGCTTGTAGTGCAGGGTGTGAGATCCTGAGGGTAAGTGGGGAAGAGACAAGGGAACCTGCTGTCCAAGCTCCCAACATGATGGGAGCTTGCCCGTTATAAGAGAAGTGGTCAGCCAAACGCAGGGGCTTCATGCTTTCAAGTGTGGTCCATGTGAAAAACCCAAACTCCCCACCCCAAACACTAAGTTCTGTGTTACTTCTCTGAAAGCAGACATGTACATGAGTTCTCTGGAAAAGAGGCAAAGCAAGAGGACCCAGCTCCTCATTACAGCTTCCCCTGAACCCTGGCCCTTTGCTGGACTTCTCCCAAGATCACACTAGACTTTGGTCACAGCCTCCAGGGTCCCATGGATGCTCTCCAGCAGCCCTGAGCAGCAGGGTCCTGATCCAAAGGGCACTGACACTCGGCCCCAAGCAATGACAGCAAACTGCAGAGCTGCTGCCTCCTCCTGGGGAGCAGGGATGTGGTCACCCCCCGACAGACCCTGCCCGAAGGTACGGTGAAAGCTGACAGCTCTCTGTGACACCCAGCCAGGGTTAAGCAACTGAAACACAGCTGGCAATTAGCAATCAATCAGCAGCCGAGAGCAGCCAAGGAAAACAGCTGAAGAGAGAGACTGGTTGCAAGTGCTACTGAAGCTCTCAGATCGCAGGATGCCCTCCTCCAGCCCTGGATGGCTGCTTTTTGAGCTAACGGAGGCCTTGGGGACATCCTTGCCGCACACATCAGAGAAAGCTGGGAAGCAGCCCCTCCTCTGGGACCAGCAGGACTCTGCCTTCTGCTCTATCAAAGCACACAGCCTGCTCCCCCCCAGACATCGACTGCTCTTCCAGTTGCTCCAGGGCCGGCTGAGCTCCTGACGAGCACTGGGACAGGGGATGAGGCAGCCGGGGAACCCCTCTCATGGCGGTGGCAGCTCCTGCCTGCAGCTTTGGCAGCCGCACAAACACAGGCCACCACTGGCGGCTCTGCTCAGTCGTGTTTGCACATTCACACCAGTCTGGTGGCCAATTAGCTCAGCAAAAGGCAGCGGCATTGTCAGGGAATTCCGGCGCCAGGCACGGTGATTGCCTCCTTCCAAGGCCACCGGCAATCCCATGGCTGAGAGGATCCATTGCCACCCTGACCCACAAGTCACCAGCCAAAGCCCAAGGCTGCAGCCCACCCCAGGAGAGCCGAGACCCCAGTTCAGGCACACACAAACCTGCCAAGAACAAACAAGTCCTTGTGGGAGGCAGGACAGAGGTGAGGGCTAAAAGCCTCATTCCGGGCCACCACAAAACATCCAGGCACCGTGACAGCCACCCCCAGTGTCAGAGCTTTCCTGAGACCCTCCAAAAGGGGACCAACTCCCTCGAGAACAAGCTACAAAGTCACCCAGACCCTCCTGTCTCAGGCCTCCCCCAGCACCAGGCAGCAGAGCCGGGCAGGGTGACCCCTCTCCCAGCGCCCTCCTCCAGTTTGACAGCAAACAGCTGATAACTACTTTTTTGAGCATGTTTTTTAGCTCCTACCCTAAGGCCAATCTCCAACATGACTGTTGCCAAGGGAACGAGCTCTTTGCTTTGACAGTTCTGTTTTAAGGATCTCCCGCCTGCCCAGCGAGGTGTCTCAGAAATGGTTGCTTCGGATGCCCTGGTACGTTGCTTGTTGCTTTGCAGGCATTAAAGACCCGCAGCAGAGCTCTGCCCAGGCTGGCACAAGATATTGTCACTCCCAACTGTCCAAGGATTTAACACACAAGGTTGTATAAGAGGATATTTATAATAGAAATAAGAAACAGGGGATGCCTGGCACCTCTGTTTCCCTCCGAGGGGGCAGCATTCCTGCCCATGTGCACCACATACTAACACTTCCTCCTGACTTCCCAGAAAGGCAGGAGGGAAGAGTAATTTCTAAGATTAAAACACAGGTTCAGTTCGCTGCAGTGGATGCTCTGCTGTGCCCAGATGCAACAGGGAGTCCCCACATCCCAGTGGCTTCCCAGGGAGAAGAGAGCACCCTCGGCCTTGGCTGTGACCCACCAGGTCATCTTTGTTGTTGTACGGTCTATCCCTTTTGGGGATCAAGTCCCCAGCATCACAGGGAGACAGAAAAAGCTAGAAACCAAAGTTGGTAAGATGCAGAGAGGGAGAACAGAGCCCCCCAGGAAAGTGCCACAACACTGACCTGTTACTGCGTTCATCTGCTCGGCGTGAAGGTGTTCAAAGCCAATTTAAGTGCAGAGCCCTGTGGCACACGTCCGAGGCAGCAGCAACCTTGGCAGGACACAGCACCACCGGGCTCATCTCCCCACGGCTTCCACCCCACGTCAGGCTGGGAGCGGGGCCCTGACAGCAAGGAACAGAGCACACGGAACTGCTGTCCCGGGCACAGCGCTGGCACAGGCACCAAACATATCCCACCTCTGGAAAACAGGTCCCCATGGGGCAATGGGGTCCCAGCCAGCCCTGTGCCTGTCTCCAGGCTGAGAAAGCGAACCCCACTCCCGCACAGGGGTGGCTCAGAATGCCTGTGGCTCGGCACTGCTGGCCACTCAGACCAGAAGTGTCAGAACTTGCCTTCCCTGGAAACGATGGCCCACAAGCAGCAGCAAAAGCAATGGTCTGGAAAAGCTAATGTGCCACATTGGGCTCACCAGTAAATACACTGAAGCGTTGTAAGCTGAGGAACAGCATCTGCAGATGGAGCACTACCCAGAGCATCACCCAAGGAAGGGGCAGGTCCCTTTGAGTACGGCCCTGTCACAACAATGGAAAGCTCTGCTGCTCCTCAGCCACAGGCAGACTCTGGGGACACCTGTAAAGATGCTGCCATTCAGCTCCACGGCAAGCACCGCTGCCCTCCAGCACATTCCTGTCACACCAGGGAGCCACTGCTGTCCCCGAGCGGCCGCAGCGTCCGACTCCTGCCCATGCCCTCACCCGCAGTACAGCGCAGGCAGAGCGTGACGCCAGGCAGGTGACTGGAATGGTTAAAAACATTCCTGCCCAGCCCTCATCGCACATCTCTGCTTCTCCGCCTCCCTCCGCTGTTATTGACTGTCCGTTTTAGGTAGGATCGTCTTCTAGTGCTTCTGATGTCAGGGCTGCCCAAACACAACACACGGCATCGCTGCCTCCGACTCCTGGCTCCTTGCCTTTCCCCTTGGCCAGCACGGCCCTCCCTGTCACAGTCACCACACAGCCCAGCGCTGGCTGCGACAGAGGGGCTGTCACAGCCCTGGGTGCCAGCGGGAGCTTTTCCAGAACAGGATGGAGAACCTCGTCCCCAACCTGCCCTCCAGGCGGATGGAGGGGCCGAGGCCTTCAGGAGATCACTCACACCTCGCCATTGCTGCGCGATGAAGGCTCTGCTGCTGCATCGCTTCAGGGCTGCAGGTGCCTGGCCAAGAGCAGAGGGAAGAGAACCGGACCAGATGGTTCAAGCTGAGCTGACCCAGTAATTTGGAGGAGGAGGATCGGATACATCTGAGTATGTGGGTGTTACAGCACTGGCATCGCCTTCAGGGTCCCATGGAGTTACTAAAGAGCCAAAGCTACGAGGAGGCAATTCAATCTGTGCAGACACAGCGTCGGGTGATCTGTGTGGCCAAGGCATTGCCTGGCTGTAAAAGAAGCCCAGAGAGCAGCTGAGATGGAGACAAGGCTGGCAGCGGGGGTACCAGGCCAAACGCCAGCACAGGGAGCCGAGCATGTCCCAGAAGGCAGAGGATGCTCTGCAGTGGCTCTAACACAGCAGCAAACCCTGGGACCCAGAAGAAGCCCAGCAGCAGCCAAGCAGAGCCCACCAGGCTCCAAGATCACCACAGCGGCACTGCCACTAGCAAAGGCACCTCGGACAAATGTTCACATCCTGCACCACATCCTCCCTTGCGCTGCTCCTCTCCTGCAAGGACCTGAATGGTCACGCGGCACCCTGGATTGGGGTAAAACTAGGTTAAAACCAACCTAGTGAAAACAAACAAAAATGTTAGCTTTAACGCAGATTCTTCCATCTGGCTAAGCGCCTGGCCGTGCCAGCACCAGGGTGACTACCCAGATGTAGACGCCTCCAGTTACTCCAGCAATTCCAACACCCCTGGCGAGGCGAGAATGCCAGGCAGAGGGAGAAGAGGCAGCGTCTAGCACGACAGAGACCTCACAGGCAGGGAATCCTGGGCAAATTGGGTGCTTCCCTCCATCTCCTTCCAGAGAGGGAAAGGTACCCACACTTCAGAGGTGCTCAACTTCAGCAGCACCCCGGTCTGGTGGGGATTTCTCCTCTGGCCAGCAGACCAAGTCGCCACGGCAAACACACCAGCCTCGGTGTTGCAGACCATGCCAAAACCTGAGGTGTTATCGGGAGAGAGGCAAAATTCCTGTCCCACAGCAGCAGTGCCAGCTCGTCCCCTCACCGTCTGGGTATGCAACCAGGCAGCTCCACAGCACTTGATCCCATGCATTGTCTTAAAATCCAGCCCGGCCCATTGAGGCTGACGCATTGTGCCAGACCGCTGAGTGGTGGCTTCCGCGCTCCCCGGCCAGCAGCTCGCAGAGGGATGCTCCGCTCCGACGCACTGATCCCAGCTGCATCGCCGCTGCAAGAACAGCTCGCTTCCCCCAGGCAACAGATCAGAGTCATCCAAAATCAGGCCATCCAGGTACCGAGCGATGCAGACAGGTCGCACTCCTGCTTCTCATGCCCGCACACCGCCGCCTCATCGGGGATGTCACTGCTTCCTCTGCTTTAGTGCCAAGGGCTTGTGCTGGCACAGAAGGAGACTTGTAGCATATGGTGAGCCCTAATGGTGTGTGGGAACAGGGCATTTGCACATGTTATGTTGGGTAAAAGCACTGCCGTAAGCAGCAATCAAAGGATTAAGTTAGCTTCAGACAACTACCGGGCTTCCACCATTCCACTTCTGCACACCAGGGCTCCCTCCCCAGCATCTCCCCGCTGCCCAGGGCTGATGCTACAGGCTGGAGGTCACACACAGTCTCCCGCAATCTGGCTCAGGACCTGTACAGACATCTCACCAAAGCTGAGGGAGCAGGACTACAGGGAATGCAGCCATCATCTCTCCCAGCCCTATGCTCCTACCACTAGGCACTGCTCCCACACAGGATGGTTGACTTCTTACAGGAACGGCACCAACTGGAAGCACAAGACATTTCTCCAAGACACAGAAAGCTTGTCCTGCACAGTCTCACCAAGCAGACACCTCCACCAGCTTCAGAAAAATGGAGCTACCTTCCAGTAAGGGCAGAGTCTCCTGAACCTGCCTCTCTGCAAACACCAGGGAGGGAGCTCATTTCTCCTGGCTTCAGACATCTCAAGACTGTCTCCAGGCTCTCCTCAGCCCATGGGGAGACATGGCCACAAGCCACCTAACCTGCTTTGGCATCTACAGGAAGGGACAGAGCAGCCCTGAGCACCTCTGCTGTGGCATCTATACCTGGTCAGGCTGACCCAGCTCTAAGACCCTCAACATTGAGGCTTCTCCCAGCAAGAGCAGCACACACGATGAGCAGAGCAGCCCCGGTACAGTGGGAGATAACCAGATGCGAGACCTGAGCTCAGCTCCCTGTTGTGCCACTGAAGCTGCCCAGCCTCCCCCCTTGGATGGTGGTGCTCCACACGCTGCATATCAAGGGATGCTCAGAGTCCACAGTGCTGGTGCCACAGCAGGATGAGGTTGATACCGAGCACAGGGAAAAACAGCCCCAAGAAGTCTGGTTTTGGCATGTTGTGGCTTCCCATGGGACAACAGTAGGGCACTGTTCAAACAAAAGGGTTACACAACTCTGGAGTGGAATAAACTCCACAGGGGGAATAATCCTCACAGCAAGGACAACCACGCATCCAGCCCAAACACTCAGAAATCTGCCGACAGCAGCACAACACTGGCCAAGTGCACAAACACAGCCTCGGTGTGATGAAGCACCAGTGCTTCCAGCACCCAGGCAGCTTCAAGGGGCTCTGCTAGGCCCCACCACGGTTATAGCTTTGAGATCCAGAGCACCAGAGGAATGTTTCTTCAAGGAGAGGAGACAGCTACTCCATCTCTGCCCTGGGAAGGGCCTTCCAAGCCAATAGCCACCCTGGGAGCTGAGGGACATGAGGGAAAGGCACTGACCCCAACGACATGACAGCAGCTTCTTTTCAAGCATCTTCCAACCATCCATCTCCTCTGCCCCCAAAGGCTTTTTTGGGGTCCATTTGTCTTGCTGCCTTGGACAACAGGAGAGTCTGGCAGCTCATGGCCAGGGCTGGGCCACAGCAGCAGGCCAGCCCTGGCAGAAATCTTGCAGTGTCATCATCCAGGCTGCACCCTGCCCTAGGACAACACACAACTTCAGGTCACAGCCACCCCTCCTCCTGTGAGCACTGGCCGAGCTGCTGGGCCACCCGCTCCTGCCGGCTGCGACCCACGCGACGAGCATCGCCTGGCATGGGATGCCAGGACATTCCCACGCCATGGGAATGAGCATCACCCACACCTAAGTGACTCTTTCGGGGTCTGTGGGAGGACCACGGCCATAACCAGAATAAAACCCGGGATTCGTGGATGGGAACACAGCCACCAGCCCCCAGAGCAGCTCTGCTTGTGACAGCGACCTCCTCCATCACAGGGACAGGCTGTGGGGAGGCACCTCCTGGGGAAGGCAGGGGAGGCTTTCTCCTCGCTTTGTCACGGGTGGGGGCTGACGGGTTCAGAGCTCCCACCACCACAACAGCCCACGGGACCCTTGAACCCAGGGCCAGGTATTCACATCAGAACTACCTCCCTGCTTCCGATGAGCCACGGGCAGGGACTCTGATGGCGACTGGACCCTCTCCTGCAGCAATCTCTGCAACACCCCCAAAACACAACACACAGACCAGGGGTGGAGACCCAGGCCCCAGATAGCTGCTGCATCTCTCCATCCATCTCTCCATCCGAACACACACGGCAGCAATTTTATCGCAACCAGCAACGCCCGAGATGGCAAACACAGCCGCCCGGCAGCAGCCGCAGGCCCCCAGCACCCAGCGAGGGCTCCGCAGCCGAAGGGAGATGGACAATAAGGTGCGGCCGCTGAGGAGCCCTCACCAAAACCCCTTTTGCTGCGCAGCCCCCGGCGCCTCTGCCTCGCCCGCGGCCGAGGCAGGTGAACAGCCTTTGTCTGCGGGGCTGATGCTCTAGCCCAGCCCTCACCGGCATCGAGCACCGGCCAGACACCGGGATGCCACCAGACACCCCGGCGGCGGCGGCATCCCGGCGGGATGGGGAGCGGCCGCCCTTCCCCGAGCCCACCGCCCCGGGGACGGGGGGGGCTCCGACCGGGCAGCTCCCGCCGAGGGGAACCGGGGACCCGCCCCATCTTGGGGATGGGTCGTCCCCCCTCCCCCGGGGATGGGTCGTCCGTCCCCACCCTCAAATCCGGGGCGGTGACCGCCGTTCCCCCGGGAGCTCCATCCCCACCCACGGGGGTATCTGTCTCCCCCCGCGGGGGTCACCACCGACCCCCGAAATCCTCCCGGGAAGGAGGGCTCCTCCCCACCGGAGAGTCTCCATCCACCGAGCCCCGCCGCGGGCAGCGCCGGGAGGGGCCGGGCGCCGCCGCCGCCGCCCGCCGGGGCCTG